AGATTTTGTGTGTGTGTGAGTGTGTGAGTGTGTGTGTGTGTGTGTGAGGGAGAGTGTGTGTGTGTGTGTGTGTGTGTGTGTGTGTGTGTGTGTGTGTGTGCTGGCGGGTGTTGTTCTAAGCACACCCCATTAGCAGCTCATGGGAGGAGGTGAAACAGTGTTATCAGAGGCAGGTCTGATAATCTCAATTGGCTTTACTCACACTGATAAAATGCTCTCTGGGGCCGCAGCGCTGCTGGGCCGCTCCTGCAGGGTTACTGTGGCAACAGTTTGGAGAGGCAAAACAGACACTCTGTGTGTGTGTGTGTGTGTGTGTGTGTGGGTGTGTGTGTGTGAGTTTGTGTGTGTGTGGGTGGGTGAGTTTGTGTGTGTGAGTTTGTGTGTGTGTGAGTTTGTGTGTGTGTGAGTTTGTGTGTGTGTGAGTGTGTGTGTGTGTGTGTGTGTGTGTGTGTGTGTGTGTGTGTGTGTGTGTGTGTGTGTAAGAGGTCAGTCAGTCCCAGCAGCTAGTCTTAAAGAAATTCATAAATCACTCTTTTGTCTCTCTCTGGTATTTCTCATTTATGAGGCAAGTTTTTTTTTTGGAAAAAAAAATAAATTTAAGTGATAATGTATAATCAGGATCAAGTGTTTATTTTGTGATAATGGTTGACTGACTGTACGTTATGCTGCTTACTATTACTATTTTATAAAAAAAAAATATATATATATATATATATATATATATATATATATATTCATGTTCTTATATTTTATATTATATATAAATATATTTAATATATTAACATTTTTCTTAAATATATACATGCATGTGTTTGTATTTATATAAACATAATGAATATACACAGTATACACACATTATGTAAACAAAAGCTTTTATTTTGGATGCGATTGATCGCGATTAATCGATTGACAGCACTAATATATATATATATACATATATATTATCAATGTTGAAAACAGTTGTGCTGCGTCATATATTTGTGTATTAATATTTTTCTTAAATATATACATGCATGTGTTTGTATTTATATAAACATAATGAATATACACAGTATACACACATTATGTAAACAAAAGCTTTTATTTTGGATGCGATTGATCGCGATTAATCGATTGACAGCACTAATATATATATATATACATATATATTATCAATGTTGAAAACAGTTGTGCTGCGTCATATATTTGTGGAAACTGTGATGCATTTTATTTTCAGAATTCTTTGATGAATAGAAAGTTCAAAAGAACAGCATTTATTTGAAATCGTTTGTAACATTATATTAACATTATAAATGTCTTTTAATGAATTATAATTAATTATTAATTTCTCTCTTTCAAAAAAACAATATTTACTGACCTCACACTTTTGAATGGAAACAATCAGTACAGTTTAGAGTCATCTTACAGAAATATTTGAGCACAGGGTAATGACATGGACCGATCACATTTGTTCCATAGAGCCCAATAGTAAATGACTGCTGTTTATTTAACAAATGTGTGAGTGATGAATCATACAGGTGTGTGCTCATGTGACAGATGATCTCAATACCCACACATTATGCATTTACACTCATGTTAATGATTTTCTTTCTGTCACTCAGTTATATCTGCTATCTGAGTGTCTGTTGCTCGGTGCTAGTGCTCCTTTAGTAGCGCTCCTGTCTTTCAGACAAAGAAAGCAAAGTTATTCCTCTTTTCCCAGCTGTGCGTGCAGTGAACTTCAGCATGTCATTGTGCAAGCGCAGATTGCGGGCGTTTAAGTTAATGGAAGGTAAGAGCATGTACGGCGGCTTCAGGAGAGATTAGAGCTCAAATTGATTCCAGTCCTGCTTGTATCTAATGACCGGTCCCATAGAGTCGCCCTGTGTGCGCTCGGCCGCTTCTTTCATGCGGGATAGCCCCAGCATGATCCGAACCCTCGCTGTAATATCAAACACATGTGGGCGCCTTTAATGCTCGCTCCTTTAGCACGGGTCTCTCCCGGCGCGGAGCGGCCATTTGCCTTTGACACGGCCCATTCCGCATTAAAACGGTTCCCTGGGCTGGCACTGACCTCCCGATGACCCCAGCGGCCCGGCGCTCAAAGCTGCAGGAGAGGTTTTGTGGAGCTGCGCTTATTTGCCGCCATACTGGTGATAAAACTTCAGACAGGCTAATTGATGGCCTCTCTGACATAACAATAGCTGCTGAAAGCCTGGAACTCATTTACAGACAGCTGGAGAGGAGAGAGACCCCTGCCACGGGCCCTTACCAGGGGGCAGGGGACCCACTCAAAGAGCCGCTTGTATCGCAAACTTTGCGATCCTTCTGAACGCCTTGTGAGCGCTAACATGTGAAGAATAATGTTTGTGCATGCGTGAGGTTTGGGCTACAGTGTGGTCTCAGAAGTTGCTTGTTTGATCAACTTCATCTTAGAAGTTCCTCCAGAAGAGTATAGAGCTTTAAAATTAATGTGGAGAACAGCTCAGATCATTTGATGAGAAATGGCTGTGATCTCTCTTGGCAGATCTGAGCGTCCTTTAAGACACATGTGCGATTATGTCTGAGAAGCAGGAGGCTTCAGATAACGTCTGCACTTATCTGATTGCTGTCTTGGAGAATCCATTCCAGATCTCATTTCTACAAGGCAGAGCTTTGGCAAACCACTCAAACATTTCATTTATTAAAATCAGAGAATTCGATTTTCAAATTCATCAAATATGAACCATCCCGCACTCCTGAGTTGTATGCTGTTTTCTGGTTTGCCTGGGCTGGTAGTACTCGAGTCCAGACTAGACCGCGTAGACAAGAGTCCATCTCAAGTCCAAGATATATATATTTTTATGATTAGCCAAGACCAGCTCATTCGAATCCAAGTCCAGGTCGAGTCCAAATGCTCCAGAAATTATGATCTTGGACTCAAAATTTAGTCTGGTCTTGTCCATAATTGAGTACTACAACACTAAAGCTACTAAGTGTTTTATATCAGTTGGGTTTGTGATGGCAGGTGATGTAATGGGTCTTGTTTTTCTCCTGTGTTTGCAGGTTCATTAATGCCAGAAGAAGAATAGTGCAGCCCATGATTGACCAGTCAAATCGAGCAGGTAAACATCATCTCATCTTCTCTGATGTTCTCAACACTGTTTGTGTCTCACTTGAGAGTCCTTGAGCACGTCTCTCCCGTGTCTACGCTCCAATGAGAGCAGAATGAATCTAATTGGATGTTTCTCCATCTCGCTGGTTAGAGGGACATTAGCGCATCTCAATGCTAATTGGCCACAGGAGAACTTTACAGCAATTCTGGAGCGTTTCACTGTTTCTCTTTGTGTTATGGTACATTACAAAGCGATTTGCAATAAGCATTCATGAATTCACACCAGAAGCATAAATTAAATTCTCTAGTTTTTGAGTTACTAAATTTTTCTCGCTGTGCTGAAGCTGGGATGATTCCAGCACAAATGAATTGAATGAAATGGACAGGTCATGTAGCAGTGGTGTTTTTATTGATGAAAACACCAGCACATGAATGCAGATGTAGAGTTTCACTCAAAGTTTCAGCGAAAGTATCAGCACCACTGCGTGGTTTCTAGATATTTCTACTGAACCCAAGACCAGTGAAGCAAGTCAAGAGATAGATGTCATTCTGTTGATGTAACCTCCTCTTGTCCTGTTGATGCATACGTTGGAGAATGGTGTGTGTGTGTGTGTGTGGCTGATTGTGTTTGGGCTGCTGCTGGGATAATTGCTGATTGTCTGGTGTGTCTTCTCTCTTCTTCCCCTGGTGTCCACGTTTGACTTCACTCAGGTTTTCTTCTTGATCCTTCAGTGAGCCAGGGAGCGGCGTACAGTCCGGAGGGGCAGCCCATGGGCAGCTTCGTGCTGGACGGACAGCAACACATGGGCATCCGGCCGGCAGGTGAGATCCAGCGACCATCTTCCTACGATCACCTCTTCAACATCTCACTTCTTTCTTTTAGACCAAGGGTGTCCAATCCTGCTCTGGAAGGCCAATGTCCTGCAGAGTTTAGCTACAACCTGCTCTAAGGCTGATGATACACTGGGCAACTTTTTGAGCAATGTTGTCGTCAAGGGGCAACCAGGTGCGACACAGGACCCATGACTGATCTAAAATATCCAAACAGAAATTTGTTACCCATTCTCAATGGGAAAGTGCCCAAGCAATGTTGCTCAAAAAAAAGGTTGTCCCTGTGTATCATCAGCCTAACACACCTGTCTGGAGGTTTCTAGTAATCCCAAAGACCTTGACTAGCTGGTTATGGTGTGTTTGATGAGGCTTAAAACTGAACGATCCTGCTCTGGAAGGCCAATGTCCTGCAGAGTTTAGCTACAACCTGCTCTAAGGCTGATGATACACTGGGCAACTTTTTGAGCAATGTTGTCGTCAATGGGCAACCAGGTGCGACACAGGACCCATGACTGATCTAAAATATCCAAACAGAAATTTGTTACCCATTCTCAATGGGAAAGTGCCCAAGCAATGTTGCTCAAAAAAAAGGTTGTCCCTGTGTATCATCAGCCTAACACACCTGTCTGGAGGTTTCTAGTAATCCCAAAGACCTTGACTAGCTGGTTATGGTGTGTTTGATGAGGCTTAAAACTGAACTCTGCAGGACAGGTGACCTCCAGGAGCAGGATTGGACACCCTGTCTTAGTAACGCGCTTAATTGAAGAAAACATTGGGGCATCCTGATTCTCAGATGTTTCTCTTCCAGTAATCTCAGGTGTCTCCTATAGGCTGATGATACATGAGGGGCAACATTTTGAGCAATGTTGCTGTCAACGGGCAACCAGGTGAGACACAGACCAATCTAATGTATCCAGATAGAAATTTATTACCCATTCTCTATGGGAAAGTGCCTAAGCAACACTGCTCAAAAAAGTTCCCAGGCAAAATTGCTCAAAAAGTTGCCCCCATGTATCATCAGCCATAGAGTTTCAGGAAAGAAAAGATCTCAGACTGCTCAGAAGTCTGCAGTCAAAAGACTCATCTCTCTTTAGATTCTCTCAAGCTCGAATGATCTCAGCTGCTATCTATGAGTGCGTTTCCCAAAAGCACTGTTAGCTAACTATGGTTGCGAGTTCCCTTGAACTCTGTTGGTAACGACGGAACTTGCAACCATAGTTGCTTTTGGGAAACACACCTCATCGATTTTAACTGTTGTTTAGGAAGATTCAATTTAATTCAAGTTTATTTGTATAGCGTTTTTCACCATGCAAATCATTGCAAAGCAGCTTTACAGAAAATATTAAGTTTCTACATTATATTTAGGAGTAGGTTATTAGTGGTGACTATGGCAGAAATTAGCGTAGCTGCTGTTCCAACCAAGCAAAGATGATGTGTTCAACCCAAGCAAAATAATGAAAATGTGCATTTGATCAGATAGAGCTGAAGTACAAAGTTACGAGATGCATTATGTGAATGATTGGCTAAAGAGATGTGCCTTTAATCTAGATTTAAACTAAATAAAATCAAATTAAAAAACTCCTTACCTGAGCAATGAAAGAACAACCTGAGTTCTCTGGGTTGTTGTCAATTTCCCCAGCTGTCAGTTTGTTCTTCTTCTGTGTGTTTGGTTGTGTTTTGGGCTCTGATGTCTGTGCTGTTTGCCTCTGTAGGTCCTATGAGTGGCATGGGCATGAATATGGGCATGGATGGCCAGTGGCACTACATGTAACGGCTGTACAGTAAAGAAAAGGGGGAAGTAAGTACACTGGGACTCTTTTCTTCCTCCGCCTTTCTTTCAAAAGTATTTCCTGTCCGTTTCCTGTCAGAATTCCCCTGAAAGCCCAAAATAACACCACAGACGCTCCGCTTTACGGCCGGCCTGTGATTACTGAATATCAGGGCAGCATAACGAGTCAGGTGAGATGCGGGTCGTGCAATGTTTCCTGGACGGCCTGGAACAAAAACAAGGCAGAAAAGCACTAAAGTGGGATTTATTTATCGCTGCAGCGGCGCCGTGCTCCACGTCTCATGCGGCCAATGCAAATGTTGGACATTTGGGGGGAAAAAATGGCATCTCCTGGGGTAGAATATGACGGGGTGAAATTAAGCGGGCTCCAGTGAAGCGATAAAAAAGGAGAAGTGAAACTGTCCTCAGAGTGACATAAATCCGTCAGGGGAAGGATTGATGCCCAAATTATCTTATATGCAAAGACGGGAGCAGTGCAGTACATTACGCTCGCGGAGAGAGATATAGAGACGGCGGGTGACACAGCCATCCTTCACCGGGGGAAGCCGCGTGTCTTCTCTTTTTTACTGGGAACGGAGGGAGATGGAAAGGGAATATCTGCAGAAGGGAGCGCGTGGGCTATGGGAGGATGGCATTAAAGACGCACGACCGCATGTTAACGCAGAAATCTCCTCGTCTGATTAAGACGCCCATTACGCTGCCCGCCGGCGCCGTGCCACTGACATTTGAGAAATCAAGACGTACGGCGTCCCAAAGGTGGCAGGGCAGAGAAGATTTTATTTAACACCTCTACTTCCTGCTCAATGAGCCTCAATATAATAACACTTTGCTTGATTAAAAGAACCCTTTATATGTAAATAGACGGCAGTTTCCTGTAGGTCACCATAGCGATGCTGACGAAGCCCCCGCCTCGTTAATAGACTCTGAAACGTGGCGAGCGTGTTCTTTAAAACAGCTGCAGAGATAACATTTGCTCAGCTTGGATAATTTTTAATACGGCGCGGGATAATTTTGAGACTGTTTAATTACGTAACATATTTTATGCTTCATGAGCAATTAGATTAATAGCTTAATACAGAGGAATATTAGCCATCTCTGATTCGATTACGCACACACACACAATATGCCGTATTTGCTGTTTTTAATTATGATCGGTGTTGGAGCGCGCTTAGAGAGGTGTGCTGTTACTGAAGGATGCAGATCTAGACGGCGTCACACGCATCTGCTGCACATTTAAAGGGAAGAGCTGCAGGTTATACTGCGGCTTCGCGAGATTTTACGAGATCTTTTTAATAAACACGTGCATGTCTGATGAATGCGTGGAGAATGGAACTTGGCCTACACTGTTCTTTAATTGCGATGTACCGCGTTACAGGAATGTGCAGCGAGTGCCTGATGACCTTGGAGTGACCCTGTCCCCCCTTTAAATGACTGTTGTTAAAGCCCCTGGGGTCACGTTACAAAACACTGGCGTCCTGCATGTGTTCCCATGCACCTCAACACTAGAGATTGCACTGTTCTGATTCACAGCTCAGTGCTACAAATGTATTCGACCAGCACGTGCATCTGTGCTTGTAGTTTTCTTTATGGTCTGCGGCTCAATTAATGGCTTCCCGTGTAAGATCTTGTCCTGTATATTAAGCAGATATTGCGCTGTTCACTGAGCGGTGTTAACCAGCCCCTAAATAATTTAGCGAGTTCGTAAAGGAACTTGAATCAAATCTCGTTCTGTCACTAATTTCATCTGGGATTCGACCGCTCTGAGCGCTGATAAGTTTAGGTTGTTCCTGCAAGATCCACATCACTTCACTGCATGGCGCCAGCAACGCCAAGGTCATGGGTTTGATTCCCAGAGAACGTAAAATGCATGCATTCTGAACTGTCTTGTTCTGCTGTGTGATTGAGGATGGATAAGTGAAATGAACGCTACATCTACAGTCAAACCAAAAATTATTCAGACACCAGATATCATTTATGATGTTTTTTTTACTAGTGGGTGCAGGACACGAAGTAAAAGAGATAAGTGTGTTTTTGTGGTCGCATTGGTCTTGCACCGCTGACTGTGTGTTTCTCTGAACCTCAGGTGAATCGAGGCGTGCCGGGGGAGTTCGTACCTCAGCGTGGTCCTGTGGGCATCACCTCCTCCACCAAAAGCCCCTCGTCTCTTGTGTTTGTCACACCGATCTCCTCGTCACCCTGCGACCCGTGTGGCCATGCTAACGCACAGACCCCCTCCTCGACCACGACTCCTCTGACCCCCTGACCACAGCGCTGCTGGACCGGCCGATGATCGAAGGAACCAACCAATACTGGACAATAACCCCACGAAAGATTTGTGAAGGAAAAGAGAATGCGCTGACGCATCCGACAGCAGAATTAGAAGCCTCTCGTGGAATTCCAGACGAGCTGTGATCGTTTTTTATCTTGTGAAATTTTGTTACTTTTGTTGCTGGAGGACCAAGAGCTGACAAAAAACACTTTGTAAAATTGTGGGTGTCTGTTCAAATCAACAGAGGATGTTTCAGCTTATTAAACACACGCGCACACACACACACACACATGATAATGAAAAAAAAAAAAGACAAGAGACTCCAAGAGTTCAAACTACTGTAGTATAAAAGCATAGAAACTAAATTAAATCTTGTACATTTCTATCATCACTCACTTTATGTTTCATGAGCTAGTCTTAGAGTAAATCGTTGGCCTGTTTTTCACACTGTGTGTGCGGATCCCCGAGGCAGAGGAGCTCGAGCGCGGCAGTAACGGGAGAAACGGACCACGGTTCCGGTATAACGATGATTCCTCGTGCATCAGAGTTTCCGCCGACTGAAGCCCGCTCTCTTCACCAAACTCCTCCTCCTCCTCTTCTTTTCCTCATGCATTTTCCTTTTTCGGTCCATGAATGAATGTTGCCCTGTAGTTCTTCGTTTGAATTGCCCAAGCACTGGATTGTGTTGCTTTTATACGTTTTTATTTTAATATTATTATTAATATTATTATGATTAATTTTGTATCTCGGACTCTCAGAGTAAGAGCCTTATGAAGGACGTGTATCCATCCTGCAGCAGTGGGATCAATGTATTACCTGCCACGAGGACGATGCTCTGGATGCTCTGGATTCTGTGGCACACACAGCAGAGACGCGTGAACAACTTTAAAAGGATGAAAAAAAAAAACAAGAACTTAAATTATGAACTCAAAGCTCGGTGAGAAGCTGAGACAACATTGTAAGAAACTTCGTACAGAGTTCAGTCTATGAATTGTTTCATGTTAGATATTCTATGTGTTTACCTCAACTGAAGACGAATGTTTTTGCTAGTTTGAGATCTGCTGTGGCATTGATATTGTTCTGTCCTTCCTTTCTCAGCACGTGCTCCACTAGAAGATGAAATACTCTCCCTCGAGCTTTGTCAGAAATACATTCAATACTTGTATGAGGACTGTGGCGTGATGTGTCGAAGGTGTTCAGTCACAAATGCTGTAATAAATATTTCATTTTTGATTTTGGTATTCTTGTGTGCTGTACAGTGTGTTGCACATGGAAATGACATCAAATCTGTAATACATAATAGCTCATATTTAATGCATTATTCTTGTTTAATAAGCTTAGAAAGAATTCGGACAGTTTTTCAGCAGCCTATTGTTGTCGTGTAAAGGATCGTGGCGTGTTAATGTTCTCTAAATCCGATCCTGCACTGAAGATGTTGGGGCAGATTGGGGTTTAAGGGGGCACATGTGCAGGGTGCGTCCCACAGACTGAGTGAGACTGACGGGGTTCGAGTCTCCGCGGCGCCTCCTGCTGGCGCCTCGTTCACACTACACGCGCTGCGCCACGGCACAGCATCACTATTATTATCATTATTGTTACAAACAGCATTTATACACACTAGTAAAATGATGAATGGCGATTACAGTAACGAGGACGCTCACGTGCGCAATAAAAGCAACGAATAAAACGCGCTAAACATTAAAACTCTTTTCCAGGAAAATGTGAATGTAATGCAAACGTTTCAAGAGCTTGATGTGAAAGTTAGTCTTTCTTCAATACTTGCATGTGTAATATGTTTTTCTGAATATGTCCTGAAGGCTTCGTTTGAGCGCTCGATGCGTGAAAGAGAGCAGACGTCTTTATTTCCCCAAAGCAGCAGGCTCTTCATTAGCTGTAAAAAAGCCGAATTACAGCAGGTTATTAATCATTTAAAATCATACCAGCGGTAATTATTAATTTACTAAATAATAGCATTCGAAAATATATCACTGCAAGTAAATATCCAGCAGTCTGCAGTCGCGTGAGAGATTTCATCGCCACATTAAACATCTCCTGCAGATCTATATGAATAAAAAAAATAAAGAGCTGCGTTTTGCGCTGTTTTCATTAGCGCTGCGCAATTTAATTCTATACATTTATTGTATGTATTTAAGTGTAGGCTATTTATTCACCAAGAATCACAAACGAACAAATATCATTTTAATGCCTGTTCATTCGAGAAAACGGACGTGCAAATAATTCTTTTTGAAATTCTAAAAGATATGCTGAAAGAACAAGACAGGAGGAGAAGTGAAAGGAAGGGCGGCATCATTGTGAGCTGATCTGAATATTAATAAGGGACAGGAGGTGGATTGAACTGCGCCTGTGACAGGAATGATGGATGATCCGGCCTTCATCACCATCATCATCGTCATGTCAGAGTCACGGGAATGAATGCAAGAACACAGAAGCAGAAGAACTGTTCGCAGTAAACAGCAGAAAACGAGCAGGTGAAGTCGAGTGTGTGTGTGTGTGTGTCTGTGGGCCCCGGGGGTCACGCGCAGAGGCCCCTGATCATTAATCACTGTCAGCATCACAGTGATTCTCTATTGATGAGAATAATGACATTAGCTCACAGTCACTGATCAATAAAGCACATGCAGGGGAATAATAGCTCTCCCTCTGACTCTTTCTCTTCCTTCTGTTCTTCATTTAGAAACAGTGAGCAGAGTACACAACAAAAGCTGCATCAGTGGCTCTTCACAGCAGCTCAAAGCTCTAATAATCCACACTCAGCATCCGCACACAAACGCTCGCTCTTGCTTTTAATTTCACAGCGATTTTAAAACACAATAAACTACGACAAAATGCACGAGCACGTAATTCGCTACTGTATCAGACAAACATCATTTCTCGAAGCAATACTAGCTGTTATTAATGCTGTTATTATTAATGAGCAGTTGCACTGAAAAAACGATTCAATTAATTTACTTTTTTATTTTTAAGGTAAGTGATTGCAATCAATTTATTTGAGCTACATTTAAATACCTTTTGCTGAAAGCTAGTCAACTAAATTTGTTTAAATGTAGCGAAAATAAATCGATTGTAACCACTTACCTTAAAAAATGTAGCATCATGTTTTCCAGTGTAGCTATTATAATAGTTTTGTAGGATATTGTAGGTCTATTTCATTATTATGATCATCATTACTGTTCTGGACAGAAAAGGTTTAAATAATGAAATGGTAACTTCACTTGACACATTCTGGGCTAATTCTGTAATTAATGTCGATCAGAGAAGAATCCTCTCAGAGATCTGGCGCCACACAAACAGCAGAAGCTGTACTCCTCACTGGCTCTCAGGGGTCTGTTGCTTTTGTATATGGCAGCATAATAATACTGCTAATAATACATAACAGAAACGGAAGATTTTAATCAGTGTCTGATCGAATTAAATGTCTTTAAATGAAATAACCTAATGGGTGTTTAAAGACGGAGGAGCAACAATATTAATCACTGAAACAAAGTTATTTTTTCAGAGGTTACGGAGCAAAAAATATATATTTTACTGGAAAAACAAAATAATAAAATAATGCTGTAGCTGTGAGAACAAACCCCGGGGCCATCAGCGCAGCGCCCCCTGCTGGTCCAACCACACATGCATGAACAGAAGCGAAGACACATTTCTCAATCTCGTTCCTGTATGTTTATAATCGATCCGAACGAAGTGCTCGCGCGCGGTTATGAAAACAGCTTCAATAATCGAGAGTCGGATTCCTGCCGCGTGAATGAACGGATGAGGAGGATGAGGAGGATGAGGAGGATGAGGAAGACATGATCTGAGGTGAGGCTGAACATCTAAAACAACAACCAGTGCTACAGATTGTAAGCATCGAAACTGAAAGACGACACAGTGCTAGTTTTGTGGCGTGTGAATGAACTGAGCTGTATTAACGTCGGTGTGTCCTTGGTTTCCTCCAAAAGCTTTATCTGCAAATGTCAACAGCATTCACATCGGAGAATTATGATTTTAAAAACATCTTCTTCTTTCTGCATCCGATTTAATGAAAAATAAAATATAACTTGCACGTGCATACAACTGTAGTAATAATAATAATATGGCATTTAAGACAACATATGGGGTTTTCTGCAATAACATGTACAAATAAATAAACAGTGTGACTGAATAGAATAAAGCTGAGTGTGTGTTTATGTATTTCTCGTTTGGGGCCACAATTCAGCTCCAGAAGCCACAGAACCTGACTTTGTCATGTTTTGAGATGTTCTCAAAAGAAAGAAAAAAAAAGAAATCACAAACACTTTTCTTTCTTTCTTACAGGTGGATGTTTGGAGATAATCTGTACTATTTTCAGCTAGGGCTGTCACGATTATGAAATTTGGCTGACGATTAATTGTCTAAAAATAGTCACGGTTATCGCGATTAATTGTCTGTTTTAGGGCTTTGGCGATTATGCTGATTATCACGATTAATTTTTCTGTTTTTATGGCTTTCATTAGATAATTGTGATTAATTTAAGGGTTCAGTAAATAATTATGATGTTATCTTTGAATCTTTTCGAGGTATTATTTTGCAGTGTAAGATTACAGAGTATTCCAACTTCTAATAATCGACCAACACAGCGCTATTATTTCTACACCACTGCAGAATATCATACTGTGTTTCTGGCACTAATGCTCACTCTTTTAAACCCTTTGTTAAACACAATCCACTAAACACTCACTTCCTCATTACAGAGGAAAACTACATCCGAATACAAACATATAAGTTCACTGACGCACACTCACTCACTCACTCTCTCTCTCACACACACACACTCACTGACACACACACAGGTTTGTTTTTATGGTTTATGGGGACTCTCCATAGGCGTAATGGTTTTTATACTGTACAGACCGTATATTCTA